GAAATGATTCGCGTTCTCAAATTGGAATGCGAAGATTCATTCCCTTAGTCATTGGATAAATCGGTATGTTTGATGGTTACGCAACAATTATCCAATGATCATCCAATGACATGGGGATCTCATCACTATGTTTGATGGTTCATCATCTTGTGTACCTTTGCAGCTGGTGTTTGAAGCTGCTGGAGAGCAAAAGCACATGGGTTTGGTGATCCTGTCAAAAACACCAAGAGAAGAGATTGGTATAATATATAGTATATAATATAGCTATATATATATTATCATATTATATTAAAGGGGGGTTCAGTAGTGGTTTGGATTTAGGTCATGTGAATATGAAAAATATGAAAGCATACCATTACCGGAGTGATAAGTGATGTTGGCCTCGCTCGTGATGTTTGCACACTTGGCTGTAGAATATACAATAGATATGAAAACATTATGATCATTGGATATAGTTGGACACGATGATATCAAAAAATTGGGTTACGTACCCAGTTCCCCAGTTCCCAACGAAACAAGGACGATGCTGTCAACTTCAGGGGTTGTTTTCAGCATCGAACCCTCACAACTCTGGGCAAACAATTGATTCTCTCTTTGACTTGCAGATTCCTTCGTCCAAGTGGATTTCTTTGAACATAACCAACAATCTACCTAGGGTTCCTCAAGCAAACTGTTGAATTCCCGGAGGATTTTTTCAGGGCATAGCCCATTTTGGAACAAAACCACATGAGAGGTTGAAGAGTTAGAGCCGATGCACCCAGAGGAGGATAATTTGGACAACTTCTGACCACGTCTTAGTTCCCAAGACCATAATGCCAGTTTTAAACAATGCCATAATATGCCACAATGCTGAAAGCCAATCTGCACTCTTGTCAGATAGGTCAAAATGTTGGACTCTAAACTCTGCAACTCTGAGATTGATACTCGTCTGTCAGTTTCCCCGATTTTCAGGACGACCGCACATCAAATATCAACATGTTTGGATATGTTTGGCATGTTTGAGTCTATCATCGAAGATAAAAAGGGCAAACCACCCAATAAAGGTTGCAAATCACATTGCAGAAACCAAAAATTGTCCTGTGCAACTGAAACAGCGCGAAAATCAAAAATCATCTTCACTCAGAGTGTCGTGGTTGCCTTGTGGCCGGTTTCTCGTCGCATCCAGATTGGGGATTTCAAGCAATCTTGGGTTTGTCTCGAAATGGGGTGTCACCATCATCCAAAAAAAGTGGTTTTCCATGAGGTTAGAAAATGAGGTTAGAAACTGTAAAATGAGGTTAGAAAATGTGGTTACCCCATCATCCAGTGGTTTACAGTTTCTAACCATCATCCAGTGGTTTTATGTTGAAAATGAGGTTAGAAACTGTAAACCACTGGATCTTACCCCTACCTTTCTACTTTCAACAAAGAGCCATATGATTGTCTGATGTACCAGTGTTGACGACCAATTGCACCATTGACATATCTGATGTGCATATGTATATAATTATATATATACAATTATGTGTATATATATATACAATTATATACACATGTATAGGTAGACTAATAGAACATAGTCGTTATCGATATGTTTGATGTCTGCTGATGTTGTGCACCCTCATTCAAAAATGCATGTATGTACTTTATGTCCTAATAGTTTCATCCACCAATAGTTCTTCTCTGACATACCGCACCAAATAATGGTCTTGATAGTACTAATTTGCTATTCTAAGAATATGTATCTTATTCATTCTTATTCTATGATATTATATGTCTATTTTATTGAAACATCATACTAGAAACAAGTTGTGAACCCAACATGTTCCACTGATGTTCAAACGACTTATATTTCAAGATATTTTGAAGCCAAGTCAGTGAATTATGTGAATTGTAGAAGTTATAGAGCATCTTAGAAGTCATCATGTAACAGGATTTAAAACCATAATGAATTGGTGTTATACCCTAGCCACTACCTCCATAGCCTGCTACCTCCAGCGATCATGGGATCATTTTACCAACTGAGGACATCATCGAAATCTGCGTGAAATGTGCTATGGGATTGTCTCCAAGACCGGAACTTCACTCCATCCCATGAAATTCTTCAAGATGTTCATGGCCACAAAATGGGGCTCCCCACTTTTTGACCCATTTCCAAAGGTGTGGCCCACCTCTTTGACCCTCTGGACGGCTTCAAACCTCAATTTCTGGTTGGGCGTCAGCAATAGAAATTCCTGGTCTTGCAACCTACCCTTGTTCGTCCATATTTGGTTCGTTCGTCATTTTTGGCAGCATTTAGCAACTAACGAACAGTAAACATTCCCGGAGCGATGCTGGAAATTGAGGGCAACTTCTATGGACACACTTAGAGCATTTTGTTGAGAGTTGGGTCCCTAGGGATCTAAAGATTTTTATCCTATTTAGTGGAGCCACCCCATATGGGGACACCGGATTTCAACCCACATGGCACTACCCGCTGATGGTCCAACCCACGACTTCCAAACAAAAAAACGAAGAACTGGTGAGGATGTTCAGATTAGCCAGCAATGGTGTATACATCACTGATATCGCAGTTCTAAAGGGTTTTTTCCCCAGCTACCATCCTAACTTCGGGTCACCAATTCAACCATCCGCGCGTGCCTCCTCGAGCGTGTAGGTCTGCGTCTCCACTTTTGAGATGCCGGTGATGCCGTCGAGCTTCTTCAAGAAAGCTTCCTTGTCGGGAAACTCGGCAGGGGACTATGAACCACCAAGTACCGATCGGACCTTGACCTGGAAATCGTAGGGCACCCTGTAGTTTGGTGATCACCCAATTTGCGTGCAGAAAATTCAACAAGATGTGCAGGAGCCAACCAGGGCATACAGATGCATACAGTAATTAATCATGTTGCTTTAGGAAGATAGCAGTGGCTACCAGAATGATTGCGGAAATGGATTGATGACAATTGCATATCATCACATAATATGGTCGGTTGCATATTCCATTATATCCCCAGTAAATGAAATGGATCATTAAAAAAAGGGATTATGAATATAACTATATTTTAACTAAAATAGTGGATTGTCACATGATCCTCGTGAACATGGTTTGGACGATATGCTATATCTCGAATGAATCCCATTGTAGTCCGACTTTTGACCATGGCACATTGCAGGATTCCAAACAACGTGCACCGTTTTCTGAATCTGACATGTCATAATTCAATACAAAATCTGCTTCAGTATGGAATACCCTCTGCTTATTTAACATAGCCATGGAAAATCACCATTTTTAATAGGTAAACCATCTATAAATGGGCCATTTTCCACGGCTATGTTAGTTCACCAGAGGGTATGGGTTCCATTCTGTTCCATTTCTGGTCGCGAACTGAGCTCAACAAGAACTGAACATCTCGATCGATTTATTGAACCAACCGGTGACCCATTTTTACCAATACGGGGGCCCCCATGTCTGTTCCGTAGCCATAGTTCCATGGCAGTGTCCGAAGTAAATTCGCGAATTCTTGCCTTTGACTGGATCGATTGTAGCCATATCCCACTCAGTCGTCAAACGTTTGGGGAGTTTTTGAATGATGGAGGGCACCCCAGTACTGGTTGAATCATGTTGAATCTCTCATCTGGTCCGTCCTCGGGTTCAAAGTTTGCTTCTTTCCAACCTCCAAAGCCTTCCGCCGAGAGTTTGACCACCACCTCACGGGTTCCAGGCATCTCCAGGCGTCATCTTTGCCAATTGGGAATGACCCAATGTGATGATTACCCACGGGCCCCACCACGTTTTTTGCTGGCTAAATACCATCAACTCTTGATGGTTGTACTGGTTGTACTAAAACCCTTTGGTTGATCATCATAAATTCTGGTTCAAACTATTCCTGAGTGATGCATACCGGTACAGTATTCTGTGTATACCCCATGTGTAGGAAAAAAACATCTCACTGATTCAAGTGACCACCTTCCAAGGTTCCAGCCCCGCCTTGAAGTCGAGATTTCCACCGCAGACCACGCGTTGCACGGTGCTGACCCCAGCCACCTGGGTTGGCCGACTATGCCATGTTGCTGAATCGTGTGGAAGATATTTACCAACAGAAGGAGAATCCAAAATCACTCAAGTGATTAGAATTTACATTGCTATTCATCCTTAAAATGATGCAAACGAAATTTTGACAGGCCCCAAGATTAATTATCGATGCCACCTGGACGAATAATCATAGATCCAGGCCTGATTTCAAACCTTTGTTTATCGTTTCCAAAATTATTCAGTCAGTGAGCTGGTAAAGAATCCAGGTGGTCGCAATTCTGCAACTTCACATATCCCAAAAATCACAGCGGAAGCACACTATTTCTCTCCATTCGCATGGTTGATCATATTGTTCCCCATACATTGACGTTCATAAAATCCGGGGGGTTCATCCTCATTCTTGCGCGGGTTTTGATCAACCTGAAAAAAATAGGTTCCCCCAACAGTCGGTACAGTTGTGGCCAAGCCCGGCCAAGGAACGGGATGAACGGATGAATCATGGAACAACTCCAGCAGTTGATGGTTGATCCATCAATCATTTACAGTGTTTCATAGTTACCAATAGTTAGCAACTGGTGCAGGATTTCTTCCACAGTGCGTCTGTAAAAATGTACCCATTGTGGCACAGGTTTTCCCATTGAGGTGAAATCCAGTATTGATGCCTAATATTTCCTTTGCTGGTTAACGGACAAACACAAGCATCACAGTATCAACAAAATATATTCAAGGTTCACAGTTCAGTTTCCATTGTTTCAACTTACATATGTCAAGTACATGAAAGTGCATAACACAAAGCAGCAGCTGCTGGGGTTCCCTATTTTTCAGCGTGGTGCAAAATGATCTCGAAGGGGGGCTGTACACTAATTTGATACCAGCG